TCACCATCCACCCATTTTGGGGCTCAGCATCTTCAATAGCACACCGTCTAGTATCTAGCTTCGATATTATTTGTAACCGCCCAAGCCCACCGCCAATAGATATTATCCGATTTGACTCATTAGATATCATCTTTAGCCTCACGGTTTTCAGGAATATTTCTCTCACTTGATCTTAGCTAAAGCATCTCTCCCCTCCACCAGAATGGAAGGATCGTCTAATTATTATTATTATTTGGGAAAATATTATTTAATTTATTTTTGCACACATTAATCTTTTATTCCCTTCCTTTAAATATATTATTCCATGATTAAGTATTATTTAAAAAATTTATTGGATTTACTTATTTTGTTATTAAAGAAACTTCACTTTTATGGCAAAACCCCAAACTAAAGCATTTGCCATTATATGGTAATTAAAGTTACATATTAATTATTATAACCCTATGTTTACTTTTATTAATATAATATTAGACACACATCTGATTAATTAAATGATCACTATAGTTTATATTGAATTATATAATAAAGTTTCATTATTGGCCGCACCCATCTTTTGATATATTTTTAATTATTCTATCCAATTATTATTTGGTTGGACAGCAATTACCTACAAACATTGGCACCAATAAATAAATAAATTAATTAATTAAAGTTTTTTTTTTTAAAATTGTTATAAAAAAAAAATACTTTTATTAAGGTTACTTAAACTATATTGGTCGGTTCCTTATAAAATTTTGTTTATTGTTTAAAATATTTGCAAGATGAAAATAGGATTGAGATTAATATAAATTCTATTGAATTGTAATTTACTTTAAATATGATAATTATAATTTCGAAATTAAATTAAAAATTGATGCATTATAAAATAGATAAAATAAAATATATTATCAATTAAATCAAACATAAAATAAAGAGTATTAAGATATAATATTTAAGATATATCCTATAATTAATATATTTTTGAATATTATATCTCAAATAAAATTAAAAGAATTATGGCCAAATCTCATGTTGGTTGGAGAGAGAACAGAAGATTTGTTATAAATGTATGGAAACTTATTTTTAGTAGACGGGTTTTAAAATGTTGAAGGGAAGCCCGGAAGAAAAAACCCAAGAATTCTATATCATAGAAACTTCTCTATAGTGAATGCATTCTAAAACATTGAAGGAAAACACGAAAATGAAAGGCTAAAGATGATAATATCTGCTAGCGGAAAACCAGTTTTAAATATGTTGAGGGAAAGCTAAAAGATGACAATATGTGCTAACGAAAAGTCCAAAAAAGACAATTATTGCTAACGAAAAACTTGAACAATATCTGTTCACTGTGGGACGGTAATAATTATAAGTTTTAAATTTATTTACCAAATCTTAATAATTTGACTAAAAAAAGAGTCAAAATGTCACCAATCACATTCAAATTTTTGTTTGACTACGAGATTATTTAAAGAGAATTTTTTTTTTTTATATATATATATATATTTTAAATTACAATTGATTCCAAGGTTTTTAATGATTTTTAATTGATGTTTTATTTTTTTAGATTGAATATACATCTTTTATTAAATCTATATTTTTTCTATTACTCCAAATGGGAGTTTAAATCGAGTTATTTAACCGTACAGTTAACGTAGCGTGAACGTCAAGTTAACAAGAGAATTTAGTATAGAGATTATAATAAAACGGCTTCTTAACTATCGTATTTAAGAAAATTTAGAGATTACAATGTACTTTTTCATATTTTTATATCGATTTTGTAGACTGTGTAACAGTTAAGATATTATAATAAAACGTCTTAGCTGTCACTAATAAATAACTCTGCACAAATAATTAAAATGGAACAGTCCGACGCAGAAAGATAATATTTTTAAATATTCCACTTATATTTAAATATATCTTATACTTTAAGTGATTTTAAAGTCACGACTTTCAAACTTACAAGCTGTGAATAACTTACAAGCTGTGAATGAATAATTTGAGTCGATTGAAACTCAGATAAATTAGTATAAAATAATATAAACAAGCATTTAACTTGTAGATATAGTACATAAAAAAAATTAGTTAATTATTAATATAATAATAGAGGGAAAAAAAAGAACTAATTAAATATAAAAAAGGAATTTTAAAATTTAGGACATTTCTAATTAGGGCATGGAGCTCCATAATTGGGCTGAATGGCGTTAGCCGGCGTGTTTGAGTGGCGTATGAAAATGGAAAGGAAGATTAAGAAGAGGGACACGTGGCAGATGGATAGAGGAAGTACATACGTGGACATTCTAGAAATGGAAACAGCGAATAAATTCCCTCTCCTAGGGCGCCGCGAGCTACGTGTCGGCGATCTATTCGACAAGACAACTTCCATGCGCCTTTCTACTAGTTCCACTCCTCCTGGATTTGGCGAGTACGAGGAAAGCTCTGCTCCACTCGAGAAGGAACGCGTGGAAAGCACGCGCGATGCGTCTTAAAATGCACAACAAATCACAGACTCGGGATTCCCTGTCGGAGACCAACGGATTCGGATTTGATTTTAATGTAATGACATGTCGGCTGGAAAGAGCGAGTATGAAACATGTTCATACTCGCAACGATCGGCTCGAATTCATGAGAAAAAAATAATATAAAACCACTAAGCGGTTTTGAAGTGCACACCGGTTTTGGTACAGACTGTTTAGCTGTCAATGGAAAACCACTTAATTTTTTTTTTATGGGAGCATATAATACAAGAAAACAAATAGGCAGAAAAAGGGTCTCTAGAGAGAGAAAAGAGGGGTTTCTAGAGAGAGAAAAGAGGGGTTTCTAGAGAGAAAAATAGAAGAACACTTCTATTGTCCAGGAAAAAACCACAAGGAGAAAGAAGCAAATCCGCATACCATGGAGCGGTAAAAACCCCCCATCTTTTTTGCCTCTTTTTTTAAGCAAATTTTCAAGTGTTCATCATTTCTCCAACATTTTTGGATTTTGAAGAGGGTTGTTGGGTTTTTTTTTTTTTTTTTTTTTTTGTAGATTTGAGTGAAATTATAGAATAAAAAGTAGAGAAAAATTAGAAGAAAAAAAGGAATGGGAAGAGGGAAGATTGTGATAAGAAGAATAGACAATTCAACGAGCAGGCAAGTGACGTTCTCAAAGAGAAGAAATGGATTGCTGAAGAAAGCTCGAGAGCTTTCAATTCTTTGTGACGCTGAAGTTGGATTGATCGTTTTCTCAAGCACTGGAAAGCTCTATGATTATTCCACCACCAGGTTAGATCCCTTTCTCTCTCCTAATTTCTCTCTCTTAATTTTTATTTTTTATTTTTTTTATTATGAAGTTTTATGAACTGGGTTTGCTTTGTTTCTATTTTTATTTTTATTTTTATTTTTATACGATTTTCCATAATTTAATTGCAATATTAGATCCAATCCTCACTGCTTCAGATGCACCAAAATATAATTTTGTGATCAAAATATTTGTTTTAATTTCTTCTTTTTTTTTTTCCCCCTTGGAGTTTGAATAATAAATGCAACGGATCGAAACAAATGGTAAAAAATGGAAATTAAATTCCAAGAAAATTATAATTATTTCTGCATGTTTTTTTTTGGGGGGTTTTTTTTGCATGGCTATGTGTGTGTATATATATTAATCTTGTGAATTAATTTCTTTTTTCTTCTTATTTTTGAAAATGTTTTTATTTTCCATTTTTTGAAATTTTGCTCTCTCTCTCTCTCTCTCTCTCTCTCTTCGACAACTTCCTTCTGGTTCTTAATTCTCTCTCTCTTCAGATCTCTTGGGTGTACCTTTCTGAAATTCCGAGGAAGTGAGTGGTGGGTGATAGAGATTCTCTCTGAAAACCAATAAAGTTATTTAATTTATATTTATATTTATAATTATGAACGTACATTCAGCTTTTTGTTTATATTATATATATTTTTTCAGTCTTCAAATTTGATTTCCAGGAATTATCGTGTGGATTTTACGTAATTCTCATTTTCTGAATCTTTTGTTGATATATTTATATGTATTTTTGTTAGTTTATGAAAACATATTTATGTTTGATGTTGTAATGTTGTGTATCGTGTCAACTTATGTGATTCGATATTCATTATTTTCTTTGTTTAAATTCATTTATCTTCTTACCTATATTTTTTTTTTATATAAATTCTTTAAAATACTATTTTTTTCACTCAAAACTTTCTTCTTTTATATTTGGTTTAATTTTCTGTCTTCAATATTTTATGCGTTGGAATTAAAAATATAAGAATTGAATTTATTAGGAGCACGTCAAATAAAAGATTAGTTGAAATCGAAAACAACATTGTAATATTTATTTATGTGTTTCTTTTGAAGGGAAAACAAGTTTTATTTATATTTAGAATTATGAAAACTATTTGATAGTTTTCATTTACAGGCAGTGTTCTGTTCTAATTAGATTTATCACTAACAAAAGTATTTTCTATATTTTTAGAAAATATTTTATAATTTTATATGCATATCTGGTATGAGGCATTGTGAAGATGAAATGTCTTGACAATAGGGGGGCCAAAGTGTCATACTATAAAATTGAAGAACTAATCACCATTTTAAATAACTTTGTTTTTCTTCTCAAATTTAGGGAACACTATTATTTTCTTAATTTCAAATATTTATTTTTTTTTTCTCTCCTTTAATTATACACATACAATTTCAAATATATATGAAATTACAAAAACATGATCAAATAACATTCCCCTCACAAAAAAAAAAAAAAAAAAAACAACTATTTTCGAGATTGAAAAATAGAGGAAGGATGAAGAATCAAAATCATCTTTGATTTTAAGAATAGGAATAGGGAAGAAAGTTGAGCTCTAAAATCACATGATTAGCTTCATGTGAAAAATGCCAACACACGGAGAGAGTGTCTGATCTGGTTTACACGTACCTCAACTATTCTTACACGACAACCTGTCTTAACCACTATGATTTATACTCATTTCCTTTTTTTGCCTATAAAGCCAGAAAAGAAAAGGAAACAATAAAATAGAGTAAACAAAAATTTCCATCTATTGTTGCAGATGTTTATTTATTTATTAAGTAGGAATAAGAGATAAGAGTACTATGCTGGTATCAATCTATACTGTAATTGGTTTTCCCTTTCTGTAAACTAAGTTACAAAAAACATTTATTAGATATTTCCCTCAAACCTATCAGGCATGAGAACACAAAGCACTGTGGCCATGTCATACTAAAAGAACACCATAATCAGAATCAAGCCATCATAGCCTTCAAGCAACACAGATCACAACCCTTACCAGAAAAAATACAGCATAAATTGCAGCTAAGTTAGGAAAATTGTACCGATCCATCTTCGTAACGTCTTTGTACAAAGTTCCATGGCTTCTGAAAGAAAGGCATTGAGATTCTCTATCTAATTTGAAATATTATGTGAAATAGGAGTTTGGGTGAGTTTCAATAACTGACAAGCACCCAAACTCGACGTGCTTATACGAGATAGCGAACAAACCGATCACTCTACAGCATGCTATGAGCAGATTATATTCACAACTCACGTAATAAATCCTTATGATGGTGACATGGCAATTAAAAATTCAAGATTTGATTTCAGGTGTGGTTATGAACTGAATTAACAGTTTCTATCTTATCAGCATAAGATCAATTACCGATCGTTACTACAAGGTGAAAGAGGAGCAAAATCAGCTGATTAACTCTGTTTCAGAACTCCAGGTAAAATCTTCATTTATCTGCAATTCCAGTTTCTTCGTTAATTTAATTTCATTAAACTAAATATCCGCATTTTTTCTGTACTGTGAATATAACATTACCACGAGTGTTTCTCAAAGATGATTCTCTCAAAGGTTAAATTCAATTAACAAGGATAGGGATGAAGCAAGACAAAAGGTCAAAGACATTAAGAAAATAACTTTTGTGATATATTCTTGATCCCTGATACAGAACAAGAGGAATTTCTAGTGTTGTGATCTTCAAAAATTTTATAAAACTTGCATCCATATGAATCACAATAGGTCTCATTAACACTTTACATAAGAAGATAATAGAAAGGGCAAGTAAGAAAGCATGGAGAGGTCAAGTGGGGGTCGTAGTACGAACGATTGATTAAAGGAAATGTTATAAGTAGTTGTGGGCAGTAGAGAAAGGGGGAAGAGCCTAGAAGGTTTTATGGGAGTAAGTGGATCCCTAGAATTCTCCTAAATTGTACTTCACTTTTGCTTACAAATGAAACTACTACTTTTGATCCCATCAAAACGTTATCAAAGCTGTGTCAGAGGAGTGAGTTCGTTGAGGAATGATAGCAAATAAGATAGAGAATCAAAATAAAGCTATGTAAAAGTTCTCCAAAGTTCAGAGGAATTCCTTAGTTCGAAGTACAATGGGTGTTGAAAATAAGATGCACACTTGAGCGGAGGAGATATGGGAAATGAGATGAAACCAATGAAGAAATGTGGCGCAGATTAAAATCGATTGAAGACAGCACTAGAAGAGAAGATTAAGGCAAGAATCTTATGTAAGCCACAACAATAGCTAAAAACCGAGTTAAACATGGAGAAGAAATAATGAAGGCTTGAGGTACTGATTATTAAAGAATAGGAGTTAGACGGCATGTTCGTTAGTGAAGGTCAATAACAGCCCTCAGTTTCAGAATACTATCCCCTCAAGTCAAGGTTCCCTATCATTATTCATGTAATAGAGATCGACTAAATGGTTTCCTTGATTTTCATTATTCAAAGGGTCAATTTTAGTTTTGGACCTCCTGTGGCCACCAAAATGTCCTTACCATCATCTAACTTATTCTCCTTCTCTTTAGTCCCCTTCGTTCTTCCCTAAACTGTAGAAGACCTTGAGTTAGCTGAAGTTACCGCTTCTTTTTGATTGTTCGTGAGTGTTTGAGTCAACTTTTGACAACTCAACTATTCTCAACCCTAAACAATATTTGGTTATCAATGTAATTCATAGGATATTAAATCTTAAATAGACGACCACCCTGACTAGAACCAATTCTCTTAAAGTCTATTGCTATTAACATGGTCCAATATTCATCAATTTAACGGATTAAGAAGTCCAACACTCGAACTCTTGCAACATTGTTTTCTCCCTATTAATTGGTCATAGCTCACGCGAGAGAGGGTTAACATATAGGTTTTGTTTTCCCTGACCGTTTTTTCTCGATCGTCAGCCATTTGGACTCCTAATACATTCCAAGTCTGTCAGTCTGTTTTGTGATCCTCGTGTTTTGGGTGGGCTGGTTTTACCTCTTTTTTTTTTTTTTTTTTTTCAATTCAACACCCATTCCAAGGCCTATCTCCAGAAACATTAGAGGTTTTACCTTGCCTCATACTTCCACTCATAAAAAAGGAATAATGTATAGACATTGTAGAACCCCTATGTTGTAACTTTTTCAAGCTTGGAGGCACCAAGAAATCTAAAATAAACTTCAGACAATGTATTATCAGCATAAAGGTTTTAGGTACCACCAAGAAAATTATTTAAAACCAAGGATATAGACTATAGTCTAGAAGAGGAATGACAGAAAATAAATGCATTTACCCCAAAATTGGTAATTGCAGCAGTATCTTATCCTTAACAGCTTTTTTATCCCGTAGTGGCAATATATCTCTTCACTCAAAAGTGAATTAAAATTCATGCCTTTCAAATAGATTAGTTAAAATCATCCAAACTTGTAACTTACCATGCTACAAGTAAAACTGCAATGCTGATCATCTTTTCTATAATTGCTAGTTTTGGAAAAGAGAGGCAGCAGCTTTGAAGCAACAACTGCATTACTTGCAAGAATGTCACAGGTACTCCAACCCTGCTGTACTCTATATGATTAACAAGGGAAAAAAGATCAGCCAAAAAATGTTTAGGGAGCATAATCATTCAAATGTATGTTTAACAATAGCTACATTTAGTTTTCAGTGCTATATCTCATCAGAACATTACTGAAGAACCCCAATCCCTAATTGTAGACTTGAACGAAAAATCTAAACAGTGCCCATGTAGAAAGTAGTAAAATTCCTTAAAAAATATTTGGTCTCCAAATTTGGAGTTCAAATAACTTGCAAATGAAATTAATTGAACTTGGAATAGAGATCCTAAATTAATCCGTTCCGAAAAAATTTCACAATGTTGACATGCTTTTTAAAAAACAATATTTAAACGCTGAAACTTCTCAAATGTACCCTATTAAGGTTTCAGCCTGTCAGTATTATTATATCAAGTAGTGAGCAAAACCCAAATGTTCCTCTATTCATAGGTCATTCACAAGAAACCAAACTTTTCTTGCCAATCCAGTACAGAAATATTAGATATGAGGAACAAGAAAAAATGTACGAGTTAATTTAGGGGCTAAAATGATAAACATTTCTTTCTACAAAGCATGTTCAAATGATTCCAATTCAAAGAATCAAGTAAAGGATAACTCAACATAGATAATATCAATAGTTATTCCAACTAGGAATAGAGCACACGTGAACAAAAGAACAATAAAATTTTTACAGAGACTAAGAGATCTTAGGAAGAAGTTTTGTCCCTTGTTAGGTTTCATACCTCTTTCTAGGCTTGGTGTATAAATATATGTGTAGTTATCTTCTAGGTTTTATTTTGGTTGAGTGAAGCCCCTTGTTATTTAAGTTCGGCTCATTTTAGTTTGGCTCCTTTTAGAGGATTGGGTTTTTTTTGTATTCCCCTCATCATTTTTTCTCAATGAAAGAATAGTTTCTCATTAAAAAAACTATCATATATACATATATATATTGCATGTAGGAAATTTTCGTTATAAGCTTGAATCCAATCACATGCCAAAAAGACGTATGAATATTAAATAATCAAACATGTAGACTACGACATTCATAATATATAAATTTGATGTTTGCATACACAGAAGATATGTAAGAGACCATTTAACCTAAGAGTTGCATGATCGGTACAAGAATGGCTCAGAGCATAGTGATGATGAATCAATCCTTGAGGGAAAATAAAAATAATCAATTACATACTAGTGTACGAAGAAATAAGTTGACAGGTGTAGGAGGGTCTTTTATCTAGGTGGTTAATTTTCTGTTGGGAGCAACACATCAATAAGATGCTTGGAGAAAATTCTACAGTAAGGGAAGAGTGGAGTAGAGCTCAGGACTATCAAACTTCCTGGGCAGTTCTCATAGCTAGGAGCTTGTATTTTGTACTGCAATTTTCAAATCAAGAATGTTCTTGGATTACTGTAATCCTATTGATTCCTGGACTTCTATATGAGAACCAATCAGGTATGATGGATTCCTGTACTTCTACATGAGAGCCAATTAGTATGCTTCAACAGACTACTGATATAGCTATGACGAGGCATACCAAAGAAAACCCCCACGATGGTTTATGCAAAGGCTTAGCTCATCCTCAGTGCTTGACCTTGTGCATTTTCTCTACAGAAAACCATTTGTTAATTTCAAATTCGGATCAAACTCTATTATTTCATCCTTTTTTTGTACCTTACTTCATGAGCAAATATCCAACTGAAAGCACTGGCCTATCAAATATTATATGGCTCTAAATCCCTTTTCAATCTTCTGTTCTACAATAACTTTGTAAGGTAAGCGGGAATGAGTGATAAGCATCACATGATTCTTGGTCTGGTAAAACTTGGCTGATCATTTGATTATCATAGAAGGTGTACTCAACATTTTACTAACACCATAAGTTGCCATCCATGATCTATATCATAATTAAGACGTGCTAATTACCGAGATAAAATTATAGAATGCAAGCCTGATCCATTGGAAATGGTAATATAATCCAACACTTCATACAAATACGCAAAAGAATTCATAATATATCTTGTGCTTCTATATTTGCAGACAATTGATGGGCGAAGAACTATCTGGCCTGAGTGTCAAAGATCTACAAAATCTAGAAAGCAAGTTGGAAATGAGCTTGAAAGGTGTCCGTGTAGAAAAGGTATAAACTATGAAGAAATCTCAATAGAAACATGCACCTGATAAAGCCTCTTGAGTACAGATGTTTACTTTTTGTATTTACCTTGCAGGAAAAGATTTTAAGGGATGAAATTACGGAACTAAGGCAGAAGGTTTCTCCCCATTGTAAACATCCATGTTATCTCATTATATCAAGTACAGTAGCATCAGCTGACTTGCTATAATTATGTTACAGGGGAATCATATGCATCAAGAAAATGTGGAACTATACAAGAAATTAGATATGATTCACAAGGAAAATGCAGAACTGCAAATGAAGGTAGAGTTCCAAACTTTTTTTCAATTGCTTCAATGTGAACAACTGGTTCAAAAGCTACTCTTGTTTAGTCGTAAGATTTTTTTCGTTCAACAGCGGGAGTTCAATTGTCCTGAAAACGGACTTCTATTTCCTTTTAAATAAGCTTAATGGTGGGTTTTTTAAGTATATCAGGTTTATGGACCAATGGAAGTGGATAAAACGAGCAGAAGCTCAGCTCAACAATTCACTATCACCAATAGATACAGTATGCCTGCTCTACAGCTAAGACAGCCACAACCACAAAACAGTGAAACATCAGTACCAGGGATAAAGCTGGGGTATGTTCTAGCAATCTATGTTCATGACATATGAATTAAATTGCAATCAAATTCATCTGAGTATCAACATGTACTAGACAATTTTTACTCCCAAGCTGAATAGATATAATTGAAACTTGCAACAGATTGCAACTGCAATAACAGCAGTAAGATCATGGATAATTTATCCATGGTCATTTCTTCAACAACTCATCATACAGTATGAATCATGTTCAACATGAAGGTGTCTCCTGCTTCCGTTATCACCAGATCCCTCACATTTGGTATGCAATGTTCTTCAAACTCTATAATTGCGATAAATTTAGCAGCCAGACCAGCTACCTATGTAAGTTTACAAATAATGACAATGCACCATATGTGCCATGTGTTGTTCTAGCTGTTATTAAAAGTTTGTTGTGTTAATTAATTAGACCAGACTCCTGATGCCTATTAGCTGAATGAAAATTAATATTCATACAATCTTATATAAGATGGTACTAAGTTGGTAGATACTGAATTGCATATGAGATGTCTAAAATCTGGGCTTCCTGTTGTTGAGTTGCCAAAACCAATCATTGGTCCTTTTATTCTAAAAAAAGTTGGCTGTTTTGAGGGTCCATTCACATCCTTTGCTAATATTACACTTGCGTGTGTTTCCAAACTTTACTATAATGATTAATGAATGAGATTCAGCAATGTAAAGAAGCTATAAAGACTACGGAATTTTAAACCAGTAAAATAATCTGAAACTAAAGTTCTCTCAGTTCACTTTTATCATCACCAATCCTCAAAACTTGAGCTGTTAGCTTATGATTAATTTAATCTAATTTTTTAATCATTCTGTAATCTCTCCCTGACATACCCAACTTCCAGTAATAGTATATAGAAATGTCAATCCATGATGCCTTTGTATTTTGTAATTAGGATATATTACATGTTTATCCCAGAATTATGTTACGCCTCTAAGGGTATGTTTGCTTCTTTAGGGTGGTGTTCGCTGCTCAGTTTGGAATCTCCTTTTATTAGCATACAAGTTGTTTTTGTAGAAAAAGAAATCTAATTCCTTCAGCTTCATGGTAATGTGGAACCCTCTTACAGGACCTCTGGATTTCCACAGAGAGGATATGGCATCACGTCATCACATTTGTTGTTATTATGTGGTTTTATAATAATGGTTTGAAGTTTCATTAACATTTGAAACTAATAATCAATTTATGAAGTATGCATATCTCCTGCAATCACTAGTTATATAATCCGTATTTTTTCCTTCAGCTTTTCAAGCATAAGAACACATACTAGCTTTCTTTCTCAAACATTTGATTCTCATAATCACATACCGACATTCTCAGTCCTAGAGTGGTCCATTTTTCCATGAACCAAATGACACCTAATGGAAAGGAATGTTCATTCTATCTAACCCCTTCCCTGCATACTTGCGACACCATATCATAACAAAAGGAATATAGTAAAACATATTTTTTAATAAAAAAATTATTATTATTAGATATAATAAATTTAACCTTCTGGATAAACAAGATAAAAACAAATGTCAAGATATATCATTCACGATCCTAAACATCGTATGGCATGATCGTCAAATACTAACATAAAACATAAGATAAATATTTCAATTATTTAAGAACTTTGTCACTTTAAATACAAGAATAAATGTAATGTGGATCAGCAAAAAAAGATGATATCTCTGATGATATAGAATTTTATGTATTATGGATTGATGCTGTAACAAATGTAACTTGCATTCTCTCTAGTTGGAAGTAAAAAAAAATTTACATACATATATGATCATCCCTCTATGGATGTAATATTTGTATTCTATCCAATCATGCCTACAATTAACTGTAATTTTTACTTTAAACATGATGTTTCTTATCTAAAAAGTAAAAGCTGAGAAAACAAAGACATTTGTGCACAAGATTATACATGCACCTATTACACAATTTCATTCTAACCAGAAATAAACTTCAAATTAACTAGTAAAGTAGAAGTCAAAAGTATACAGCATATAAACGAAGAACTTGGGCTTCTTACAGATAATAAAGTATGTATGATATGCAATATAGTGGAAATCATAAATCCAGCCATGTCTCATAGCCCAGTGTCAGGGCTAACACAGAAAAGAAATCACCAGCAATAACATGAGTGATAAGCAATTATGACCCACAGGTAAATAAGAATAACGTGGAAGGAAAACATAGAAAATAAAAACCACCCAAGAAAATGCAGAGTGAATAAATAAATATTGCTCCTTCAATCACAAACAGGTCCAGATTATAACCATGTACAGCTCTACTGCTAATGTACCTAACTGGTAACATGCAAAAAAACCATGAATTCAATATTAAAAGAAAAGGCTCACTTACACCTTATTTAGCCAGATATTTCAACTAGAATCATGCTTTACTTAAAGCAATTAACAAGTGAATATTATAGAAGCAAGAAAATAAATATTACATACCAAAGACAACAAGAATCTAATTTTGAATTTAGCATCAACCACATTTAATAGCTTGCAACAACATTTAAGCCTTTTCCACATCTAAAATTAATACAATCTTTATAAATTGGTTCAATGTAAACTTTAAGCCCTTGTTCATAAACATACTCAACCCCTAACCCTTTTGAAGAGAGGTACCCAACCTAAAATTTATGTGTTACTGGGTGAAATTTTGTATACCAGCAAGCTAATGCATCTTTTAGGCACTAAACTTTCCTGTACATACACAAGAATAAACAGAGCATCAACAGCCATTTCTATTTGCCATTTATAGTATGTGGTATGACCTTGCTAGAGAGATATCAGTAAATCATAAATTTTAAAAATAAATCAAGCTGGGTAGATTCGATCTATGAAACTGAAGGATAAAATCATTAGATGATTAATGTAAAAAAATCAGGGAATTATCAAGAGATAAAGGAAAAGGACTCTCAGACCTAATCAAATTTGAATTTGCAAATCAAGAGATAAAAGAAATAAGACTCTTGGGACCTTACTAAAAGCACTAAAGTCCTTGATTTCAAAAGCTCAAAAGAAGGCGGCCCCAACACTACCTAGACAAAAAGGCACATCAACAGTAATGGATTCAAGCCAGAAAACACTAGATGGATCCGTAGAACTGTGAAGGGTTCAAAAATATTCTGCCTTCTCAAGGTTCTTTTCTATCCTTTGACTTCTAATATCGTCTTTTGATAAGAGACCTCCATTACAACGTCAATTCAGATGGTCACAGCCACCAACTTCTTCAATTAGCCAAAAATATTTTAAATACATACCTGTATAATGTATAGAAATACTATATACATTTCCCACATTACAACTGGTCCTGAAAGATAGTGATTATATCTAATGAAAACAGTGCTATTAACAATTAAAGAAATATAAGAAGAGACATTGAACACACTAAAAAATGATGCATGTTAACCATCCATCGTATAAGCACAAGTAATAATATTAACAAAAAAAATAACAAGAGTCCTAAAATTAGTAATTAAGGTCCATATTTAACATTTAGAAAAAATAAAAAAAAATCCTTACATAAAACTTGGAACGAAGTGTCTAAGGTACAAGCAGGCAATAACTTACTGTATGAGGTTACTGCCATTGCAGGGTGCAATTATGATCAGTTAACAAAACAAAAGATAGCTAATGGTATGCATTGAGTGCAAAACTAAACAGGAATATTAAATCATACAAGATAATGATAAAAATCCTACAGATATAAAATGCAGACTTACTTTCAGAACATGTCTGCAAACTCATAATTTCATCCGCTGGCTTTCAAATATGATGAATCTTCTATAATTTTATCACAAGTTCTGCATGGACAATTGTCTTCTAAACATCAAAGATAAAAGACAATAGCACAGACAACAGGCTACTTGAAATTCACTCCTATATAACAATTCCTTCCATTGTGCACTTTGTGTCTTAGCATCCAGTTCCAAATTCACGAAAACGCATAAACGTCAAATGAGTGTAAAATTTCAAACAAATAAATATTGTAAGGGCACCTTTGATTTCACATTCATTTACGTGGTGGCCAGCCATCAGCAGCCCGAGATTCCACCTACCATACGTCAAAATTTTATAAGATAATGAGAAGGTATCGCATATGTAGGTTGCTAAATTATTTTTTTAGAAATGAATGATCCGTAAAAAAAAATAGCGTGGATGCAATATCCCTGAGGCTGCATTCTGTGAGAAAATCAGACAGCTCGTCATGCAAGTGAAGTATAAAGCATTTAAGCAAGAACATTATACACATCGCGTCAAAATCCTGAAATAAACAATAATATAAGTCTTAAACAGTTCATCTAAGAATCATCCGATGCCAGTATCCCAGCCATGCATCCATTACATACAAAGAAACTCAACTTCCGTTATAAAAAACAACACACAACGATCAAAAATCAAGATCATCTACTACGAAAGGCAGAAAACATTCATTGCCGCCATGAAAAAAAAAAAACAGAAACGCCGAAGTAATCTGTACTCATTGAAAATGAGAAGAGAACTGAGGAAAACGACATTACCTGGAAGCGCAAAGCTCTCGTGAAGAAAGTGAGTGATCGATCCCCGAGCCAGAAAACCGCCACATGGATGATTCTGAACAGGAACACAGCACGAAACCTATAAAGCAATGAAGAACTCGAACGAGAGAGAACAAAGAAGAGAATCGACTACAGAGAACCTGGACGCGATCGATTTTCCATAGGACTTTGATCTCTCTTTTTCCCGCGGATTCAGATGGAAATCAGAACTCTCGCCGCGACGAGGAGAGAGAAGAAAATATCTCGTCCAATTCCGTATAAATTAAAAAAATAATGTAAGAGTTTCAATTCTCTGCAGCCAAAACTACAAAAAGACAATCAGATTGAAACAGCTGGCGCATTTTGAAAGGTTGAATTAAAAATTAAATAACATATTTGACACTGAGTGGGGGAGTGGAAGTGGTTCTGGGCGTACGATAGTGGAAGGAATTGATATTACAGGGCCCACATTCGGACACGTAGGACACCATGAACCGGACAAATCGGACAAAAGTGAACCAAATTGACAAGTTGTTGCTTTCGGGATTAGTGGAGTTGCCGTAATGCTTCGGCAAATGTTAATAAAAGGAAAATGTGTTGAATTTAAATTTTATATTTGTTTTATTTTGTTTCTTAGGTCTATTAAATTAAATTACACTCTCATAATATCACAAAAATATTTTATTTATTTTTTTCTTTTAATTTCAACAACATTCATACACATAAAATTTGATGCTCAAGCGTATATATCCATTAATTATTATTAATTATGTTTGTTTTAATTACCAATCGATTATTAATTAATTATTAATTAATTATATATTCACTTTTATTTATTGATATTGATAATATAGGCTAGAGTCAACTGAACTATATGTCTTCGTACATTATTACATCATTTTTCAAAGTTATAATTAACACAATGTTTGGGCCCATTTTTATACGTTTTTTATGAGTTAAGTGGACAGGGTCGCAATAATTATCATTTGGTTCTTACAAATTAAAATCAATATTAATTTTTTTTTTCTTTTAATTTTATTATGAAAATTACGAAATATTTAACATTTGTAATCGATGCTAGCAAAATATTATGATATGTAAATATTTGATATTTGAATTTTATAAGATTTTATTTTTATTTGAATAAAAAAAAAACTAACTCAAAAACGGAATTAAAAAATAGAGGGTTTGAAAATAGAAGTTGTTTTAAAAGATAATCCAACACATATTCGAATCAAAAGACAACCCAACCGGACAATTTAAAAGGAAAATGAAGTATTTTAATTTAAAAATATCAGAAATTACTTCGTTAGGTTGTTTATAGATAAGACAGTTCGCAGCTACCCCTTGTAAACTATTTTTGACTCTTTTCTGGCACCAATGGACAGCGACCTGGCCGCGACCTGGCCGCGACCTGGCCGCCAAAACCTTCAATTGTAAGTCCCATTGGAGAAAAGATTTTATAAAGGATCCAAGTCCTAGCGCAATAGACTGGAATCTCGTCTGCTTATCTATCAACAAATTGTTTAAAAATTGTTCGTGCCTGGAGGTGATCCAAACGTTCTTATACAGCACTGCAATTCGATTCCAAATAGTTTCAAACTTACCAACGTGGCTATGAGAAGGAAGCTTCCTCGAAAGACGACAGCCAGAAGAACAGGTCTTGTTTAATCATCTCTGTCAATCACGGAGCATTTCATATTGGTGAAAGTCCACGTGTGTGTTGAATTTTCGCATCGATTTCATGTTTCGTAACCTACCTGGTGGTTGAATGGCCTTTGACAAGGCTGTGAAGGTAGTTTTCGAAATTTGGTAATTCGCCTTTTCGATTTTCTTTTTTTCTTTCAAATTTTCTGCTCGATGTTTTCGGGATAGGGTTTTCGAGTCATATCAGGGGGTAATTCTGTTTGATTTCTGATTCCATTGTATAATATATCTAATTTGTTATTCTGGTTGCTCTAGTGATTTCAAACTGCGATTCTTCTTAACTCGTTATTCCATTGATTCCCTGCTGGTACCTTCGAAAATGGTTCATAAGGGTTGTGGAATCTTGCTTTATTCAAGATAGGGGCAAGTGTTTTTTGTTGCCTTTTTCATTGGGTTATGTTTCTCTCGGCCTTTGTGTTTAGATCTAAGTGGAGTGACGGTTGTATGTCAAAATTAATGGGGGGAAATTAGAACAGTTTGCTTGAATTTGGTTTGATGGGGATTTTGATTTGTGGTATTTGAAATTCCAGAACAAATACATGGAGCTTGCTAATGCGGAGACTGTTGCCAATGGGGAATTGGATGGAATGGAAAGAGAGCCTTCAGCGCGCCTTCTTTTGCGGGAGGCTGGTCTGTCCCGTACGCATTTTCCGGGAATGGTGAGGAAGAGAGCATATATATTTGATGGAAATGGCAACTATTATAACAAGGAATGGGATCTTACTGAGGGTAGAGGAAAGGAGTTTTGTTGGTATCATGTAGAACTTCCGAAAGGCAATCAAAAACTGGCCCAATCTGCTCAGTTTCTCATTGATGTTCTTTGCCCGCCTTTGAAGCTTCAAGATATTCTCTCCCTTGTAAGCAATGGTCCCTTTTGTGGACATGTTGATGGGGCTCTTGTCTTCAGAGTAAATTCACCTGGCCCTGCATCTTGTGACTTTACATTCAGAATTGCTGCTAGAATTACCGAGCATTCTGTCATCACCGTGTCATTGGGACGTGTTCCGAGATTAGGATTCTCACCGGTCGGTCAGTCTCTTCTCTCGGAGGTTCCTAGTGTGGAGAGTCCCTCTCACTTAAGAGGTGAGCAGAGAGAAAGTGGGAGCATTGTGATTAGGGAGCATGTTCTTGAATTCCTTTTGACAATGAATCACTCAGAGGAGGCTGATAATCCGGTGCCAGCGTCCCTCTCAAATCTGGTTGTTCATATTATCGATACACACATGGATCATCTTCAAGATGTTGTGACGAAGCTCGAGATTGAGTTGGATTCTGTGGAGCTTGAAATGGATAGAGGTACTTATAGTTCTTTCTTTTTCTTGCTAAGAGTATAATATAGATGCTCTTGTAGATACAGAATCATTGGCCAGATGAAATATTTTTGTCAAGAACTTGATGTGTAAATGTATCATTCTCTAAAAGTCGAGTACCATAAGTCGATTTGCTTTAAAAAAAACAAATATTTTGAGTACCATAAGTCTATCATAATAGAAGTCTTCCATTGTTGTTAGGTGGATTCGCTTTAAAAAAACAAATGCTCGATGACCGAAGATTCCCCAAAATGAACCTCAACTTGCAGCGGCTCCTGCAGGTAGCATCTCAGTTCATTTTCTCAGCTACTCTCTCCTGTTTTCCTAGACTATGGCAAACCGGAGCTTTCAGAGTTGTGTTTGTTTGAGTTTTTTTAATATGTTGCTGAACTCTGGAAAGTCTTATCTATTTATGCCTTTGAAGTGTACATTTTGTGTCAAATTGGTCCATCTCGTTAACTCATAAGTTTAGCACATGTGTCGCAACGTCAGCCTACTATATTAATCTTCAAAGGCATATAGAAACTTTTTAAAATATAGGAACGACATAGACCACAACCTTGAAAATTAAGAAGTTTTTTGAAACATAATTAGATACCATCCTAAAAGTTTATGGACTAAACTTGTAATTTAACCAATTTCACGAGAGTTTTGAAAAGAAAAATGATTACACGAGGTAACATTGTACCTGGTTTTAGACTCTTTGGTACTTGATCAACAACGGTCTGTGGATGTCAGATATTCTTCATAAATGACTTAGTGTGTCTACCTACCATAACCTGACTGTTGACCTCTTGCTTTGCTCGTCAAGGAATAAGTGACTTGAAAACCGAGTCTCTGTTGCCATAACATAGAGAATGAATTTTTGTATAAATAGAAAATGGATTGAATATTGGAAGAAGATGTTTGGGTATTAGTGGAATCGTCTTCACACGTTTTAATCTACTCTTACGTACTCATCTTTTTGTATGCGTTTTGATTGAGCGCAGGTGATTGCACATGGGGAACAAGTCTTTCCACGAGTGAAAGAAAAGTGTTCTTCTAAACATTGGTTTGCCAGTGAAGACATCAGCTTGCTCGAGGAATTAATTGGACGTTTAAGACGATTGAAAGAGAATGTTGGATTCATTGCAAACCGTGTCACCGCTATTCAGGCTGGTCTCGATAGTTGGCAAGCTGAGCAAATTAACAAGAAACTCTATTATCTATCGTTTCTTTCAATCATATTCTTACCTTTATCTGTCATAACTGGAGGTACTGACCTCTTTTTGAAAATAGTTTTTAATTTCAGTTTTCACCAAGATCTGTTTGACGAAACTCATCCTAGTGTCTCGGAACCACCCTTGCAGTATTCGGCATGAATGTTGGTGGAGTACCATGGACCGATCAGAGAAATCCAGAGTTGAAAGACGGGTTTCGTAACGTCATGTTTCTTTGTGTCGCAATGCTACTACTCGTGTTGCTCTGCTTCAGTTTCCCAGCTCTTTATACCTACATAGCAGCATGGCATCGGCGGAGGAAGATGAGAAGGAGCTGGTCTCTCAACAGAAAGTCCTTTCTGAAGAGAACTATGAGAAATGGGGATGATAACAGGGGAGGAGGTTATCTTCGGATTTGATGATAAGCCATCCTCACTGAACGACATGACTTTTGTGAACCCAGCATCTCGGTCTCGATCTCGATCCCAGATGATCTAAGTCAAACCATTGATCTACATAATCGTACATCGCTACTGTATCGTCCTCCCGTTCCCTGGGAGACTTGCTTAAAAGAATTTGGTTGCAGTTTGTTTCAGGTCAATGAGGTTAGCCAGTCTTATCCTAACATGTTTTTTTTTCACATATGTAAGCTTTTGACGTGTACAGTTTGTTTTATTTTCTTCTTCCTTTTTCACTCTCAGAGATTTGTATGGAAACACTGTTAAGCATTGTTTATTTCTGGCAAGCACCAATGCTTTTATCAGTTCCTTCTCAAGTACTCACGCTGCTATACTTGACATTCATGGAGGATATATTCTGGTGTTATTGAGCTAGTTGAAAAATGTAAACACGGTGTTTTCAGTAAGTGTTAGTATACAGATGTTGTAAAACAATGTACCAAATGCTCTAATCCTTTTTTTATCACCAAGTTTTTATGACAATTTAAACATAATATTTGATAGGGAGTCCGAGGTCGAATCAATACCTTACATTTAACATTCACGTATGATGCTCATTCGGCTATTTTTTTTAGTCGTT